TCGGAATCGATCTCTGATGGCGATTTTTTGGCGATTCGAAGGGTTAAAAAATGGCGAAAGAGAGAGAGTAAAGAGTAATCTTCTTCGTCTTCGTCTTCGATTTGGAGAGAAACACTCCGCACTCCTGATTGCTTAGAACACCAAACCATGGACACGTTCCTACGATGGGCAGCAGAGCTTGGCGTTTCAGATTCAATTGATTCTTCTCGATCTCACGATTCGTGTCTCAGCCATTCTCTTTCCATCGCCGACTTCCCTCTCGCGGCGGGTGAGTGTAGAGAAACGAATTCGATTTCTTTTTCAAAAAATTATGTCTCTCTCATTGCTCAATACTGATTTTGATGGAACTACGAGGGGTTTGGGTGCTGTTCGTGAGCTCAGGAAAGGAGAATTGGTTTTGAAAGTCCCGAGAAACGCTTTGATGACTACAAAATCCATGATCGCTAAAGATGAGAAATTGAGAAATGGGGTTAAACTCTTTCTGCGACTCAGGTTTCTCTTTCTCTGACCTATTTGATTTGTTCTGTTTTTTTGTATATGAGGAAATCTCAAAAAACAGAATCCTTGAAATTTGCAGATATTGAGTGTATGCTTATTGTATGAATTGAGCAAGGCGAAGAACTCTTTTTGGTATCCATATTTGGTGCATTTACCCCGTGACTATGATCCCTTGGCTACATTCGGAGAATTCGAGAAGCAAGCATTACAAGTTATGTGTCAACTACACTTTTTGTCTTATTATTTTGGTTTTAAATAGGTTAGATTGAGATCCAAGTCTCTTTCTCTCTTTCTTTCCTCTGGTGATTTCAATTCTAAAGTTGGAATTTTGTGATTCATGTCATTAGGTTGAAGATGCTGTTTGGACTACAGAGAAAGCCATAGCCAAGTCTCAGTCTGAGTGGAATGAAGCTGGTGCGTTGATGAAGGAGTTAGATCTCAAGCCGAAGTTTCAGAGTTTCCAAGCATGGCTTTGGGCTTCTGCAATTGTAAGAATAGTTGAATACTTCATCTATATCACATGACAGGTGTTCGAGAAATCGATTTTAATTGATTAGAACCTTACAGCTGGATTTTGATTTGTGATTTAGTTGAT